TTTTTAATTGTATTTTGAGATAAGAATGGGTTTTGCTGAAAATAAAATATACAATTTAATCTGTAAATGTAAGATATTTTTTATTCATTTTTCCATTAGCCACTGTAGCCCTATACATTTGCCTCCATAAAATATTTCATTTATGCTTTCATATGGGTATTTTTTAAAAAATATTTTTAGTGATTTTGAGAGAGAGAAACATCGATATGAGAGCAGAATATCAATTGGCTGCCTCCTGCACACCCCTACTAGGGACTGAGCCTGCAACCCAGGCATGTGCCCCAACCGGGAATCAAACCACAGACCTCTTAGGTGCATGGGCCAATGCTCAACCAACTGAGCCACACTGGCTGGGTAAATGAGTCTTTAAAATAGATAATAGATAATATGATCATTAGCCACTGTAACTCTATACATTTGCCTCCATAAAATACTTCATTTATGCTTTCATATGGGTATTTTTAAAAAATATATTTTTAGTGATTTTGAGAGAGAGAGAAACATCGATATGAGAGCAGAATATCAATTGGCTGCCTCCTGCATACCCCTACTAGGGACTGAGCCTGCAACCCAGGCATGTGCCCCAACCGGGAATCAAACCACAGACCAACTGAGCCACACTGGCTCGGTAAATGAGTCTTTAAAATAGATAATAGATAATATGATATAATGGTGAAGCACATAGGCCTAGCCTGAGTTCAGATCTATGAGACCCTGTGCCTGAGTTTCTTCACCTATAAAATAGAGCTAATAACTATCACAACTGAGAAGTTGTTTTGACGACTGAGTTGTACATGTAAATCATTTAGAACAGTACCTTGCACATAGTAAACACTCTATACTTATTAGCAGCAGTGATAGAAGTTCTTATTATTCCTCTCATTCTACTCACTGTAAAAACAGTACTTTGCACAAAGGAAGCACTTGGCTTTTCCCGTACTCCTCTTGTTTTTCACCCCAGGAGCTTATAGGACACACATAACTGGCTAAATCCTAACCATTTTCACCTCAGCCCCCTCCCTAACTCGGAGTTCTGTAAAGGATACACAGGTGTCCATAAAGTCTAGAATCATAGACAAAGCTTTAGTGGCATCTAGTCTGTAAACGAATAAAATATTACGTGTTTTTAAACTTTATAGATATCCCGTAGAAATGGTTCTTCCAAGGATAAACCAAAAAAAATGGAGCAGTCAAAAATACCTTCCCTTTCAAAGCTTTCCCCACTCATGAGGAGAACTTGAGAAAACATGTGAACCTTTTATGGAATAAGTAGTTCTTTTTTTTAATATATTTTTATTGATTTCAGAGAGGAAGGGAGAAGGAGAGAGAGAAACATCAATAATGAGAGAGAATAATTGATCAGTTGCCTCTGCATGCCCCACACAGGGGATTGAGCTTGCAACCCAGGCATATGCCCTGACCGGGAATCAAATCGTGACCTAGTTCATAGGTCGACACTCAACCACTGAGCCACACCAGCCAGACGGAATAAGTAGTTCTTAATGATATTTAAAATATTAGGCCAGAGGCAGAGCTGCCTCAAACAGATTGTCACACTGCAGCGGGAAGGCCGGGGCAGGAGGGAGGGGAGATCAACCGAAGGACTTGTATGCATGCATATATGCATAACCAATGGACATAAGACACTGAGGGGGTAGGGGAGGCCAGGGGATTGTCAAGGGCGGGGGAAAAAAGGACACATATGTAATACCCTTTGTAATACTTTAAGCAATAAAAAAATTTTTTAAAAAATATTAGTCACTTAAATCAGGGCACCATACATTGTGAGGAAAAGTTTTTCTTTCTTCAAAGCCTTAAATTTGCAGAGCAACTGCTGGCACTGGAGATTGCCTTAGTGACTAGAGGGAAGGGAAGGGTGCCAACAACTGTGGTTGACAAGGGGTTGGGGCTCACAATTGATTTGGAAACTTACAGATATAGCTGAGATCTCAGTACACAAGTCAAGATCGAAAATATAGGCATATGTTATTAATCATTTTTTAGGTTCAGAAAGAAAAATGATTGCTATTAACATATGTAGAATTATATTTTTATATGTTAATCATTAAAAAAAGAATAGAACTTTATATACAATGCTAACATCTTTAGGGACATATAAAGTTAATTTTATAAGCCCCTGAGGCAGCCATGTTTGATGTTTATGAATTTGCAAATCTATAATAATAAAAGTGTAATATGCTAATTAGACCAGACAGCCCAACGACCTTCCGGAGGAAGCCGGGGCTGCGAGGGCTGAGGCAAGCTGCCGCGGCTGCAAGAACCAAGCCCCTTGCATGAATTTTGTGCATCTGGCCTCTAGTGTAATTAATAACTACCAAACCCAATGTTCTCAGCCTGCAGAAGAACCACGAAATGAAGACAACATGTTAGTTGAAGAAGTGAATGAATATGCGTCCTTTGCAAGGTCACCAGGGACTTCTTCAGAGAGACTGCACCTCAGTCTACCTAAATCCAGTGACAGCCTCACGGATGGTACTGAGAAGAACTTCGGTTCCTTCCTGTCCAGCATAGATTGCACCACCTCGAGGCCCAGGAAAACACACTCTGCAACCTCCAACAGCCGAAGGCCCAGGAGCACAAATTCCCACAGGTCTCAGTTAGTCGTTAAAAAAGCATCCAGTGGGGACCTTTTGGATAAACATTCTAAACTCTTCTCTAATGGGCATTTGCCATTCACTCCACGCACTTTGAAAACAGAAGCAAAATCTTTCCTGTCACAGTATCGGTATTATACACCTGCCAAAAGAAAAAAGGATTTTACAGATCAGCGGGTAGAAGCTGAAACCCAGACTGAATTAAGCAGGTATGGCACGTCAACAGCCAATAGTAAATCCTTCAGGATATTGTGGAAACTAAACAATATTCCTTCTTTTATATCATGTAGTTTATGTGCCCTGTGAATGGAATGTCATTACTGTGACTTTTCCTTTTACATGTATCGCTTAGAACTATCAGAGTAATTGTTGAAAAACCAGTAGCTGTTACATTTGTCAGACTCTATATACATGAATGTTACATATTTCAATTTTTTTTTGTTTTTGACATAATACTAGAACTTTTGTGTTTTAAAATATTAAACTTTCAGAGAGTTCTTAAAATATGTCATCAAACAGCATTTGTGAAAAAAACAGCATTTGTGCAAATATGTCTATTGCTTTATGATAAAAATGACAAAACAGTGGGTTAAAGAAGGGGGAGAAACAACTACCCCTTTCCTGCAAATATTCAGCCCCAGTCATGTATAGCAACCACTCCCCACGTGTAATTTAGACAGTTGGGATCATTTCTGGAAGTTCAGTATAATTTGCCTCAATAATGCTTTCATATACAATAATGCCTGGCACATAATGAATATTCAGTCAAAGTTTGCCAAGTGCTTGGAGAAACAAACAGATCTTGAAAAGTATTTAGTGTAAGCTGATTTTTGATTATTTATCCTCGGTTATATAAACAAATATTTATCAGGTACTAGGTTTTAGTTATTTTAGAAAGTAAAAAGCAATTTATGACTACTATTCTTTCCTCTGGGTAAATACAAGAAGTGCAGTAATACCAGATGTGTCTGCATACATTTCGTCAAAGAATTAAGGAATTAAATATATGACAGAATTTGTCAAGTGAGGAAGAAATGAGGAAAGTATGATTATATTTATGACAGCTTTTGAACATAAAAGTTCTCATTTCCCTAGTCCCACTCTGGCCAACTGAAATTTAGCTGCTATTCAAAAAAAGGAAAAGAAGTACAGGTAATCCAAACCACATCTATTTCCTGATTATATAACCAGAAATAATACATTTTATAAGAACAGATGGATTTCATCTCCTATGTTTGAGTTTATTTTTTCTAGACGATAAAGCTCGTTATCACACAGTCTTTGTATTTTGAAAGCTTAACAGTGTATTTTTTAAATATTACAGCTTTAAGCCTGATTTTGAGACAGTTGAGACCAAGGACTTCACAGAGTCAGAAGTGACCATAAAGCAGGTAACAGAAATGAGACCCTGTGCTTCACATTGGAATTACAGCTGCTCTAACCTAACAGAC